CAAAAAGTTGAAGTTTTTTCATCTTTTGTATCTATCAAAAATAGATCGAGAAAAAGTGTTTGCTGACGTTCTAGATAAAAAAAAAGCCTTTAAAGACTATAAAAAAACCTGTTTACGAAAAACACAAAATTAAAATTTTTCCAAAGTGGATAGTGCATCGTTTAGATCAAAAATTAGAGATTTCTTTAACTTTGATTTTTATGCAAAATAGACCAAGAAAAAGTATCTGGGAACGTTCTAGTTAGAAAAAAGTTTCTATAATCCTTTGTAACCCCCTGTAACCCCTTATCTCCCCCTGTCGCCCCTTGTAACCCCTTGTAACCCCCTGTAACCCCTTGTAACCCCTTGTAACCCCTTGTATCCCCCTGTATTCCCATGTCATAGATAGTGAAAATAAATCGTGAAAAAACGATTTTCGACGTTTTATATAGCAAACAAGACTTTCTGAACAAGAAAAACATCGGTTTCAAAAACCCACAAAATTGGCATTTTTGCAAAGGGGTTAGTCCATGGTTTCGGTGAAAAATTGGAAATTTTGTGAACGTTTCGTTTTATGCAAAATACACCCAGAAAAAGTATTTGGTGACGTTGTCGTTAGAAAACAAGCCTTTCTAGACAGTATAAAGATGGATTTAAAAAGAAGGCAATATTGGCATTTTTGCAAAGGGGATAGTCCATGATTTTGGTCAAAAAGATGAAGTTTTTTCATCTTTTGTATTTATCAAAAATAGATCGAGAAAAAGTGTTTGCTGACGTTCTAGATAAAAAGAAAGCCTTTAAAGACTATAAAAACAACTGTTTACGAAAAACGCAAAATTAGAATTTTTCCAAAGGGGTTAGTCCATCGTTTTGATCAAAAATTAGATTTTTTTTTAACTTTGATTTTTATTCAAAATAGACCAAGATAATATATCTGGGAACGTTCTAGTTAGAAAAAGTTTCTATAATCCTTTGTAACCCCCTGTAACCCCTTGTCTCCCCCTGTCGCCCCTTGTAACCCCTTGTAACCCCCTGTAACCCCTTGTAACCCCTTGTAACCCCTTGTAACCCCCTGTAATCCCTTGTAACCCCCTGTATTCCCATGTCATAGATCGTGAAAATAAATCGTGAAAAAACGATTTTCGACGTTTTATACAGCAAACAAGCCTTTCTGAACAAGAAAAACATCGGTTTCAAAAACCCACAAAATCGGCATTTTTGCATAGGGGTTAGTCCATGGTTTTGGTCAAAAATTGGAAATTTTGTGAACGGTTTGTTTTATGCAAAATACACCCAGAGAAAGTATTTGGTGACGTTCCCGTTAGAAAACAAGCCCTTCTAGACAATATAAACATGGATTTAAAAAGAAGGCAAAATTGGCATTTTTGCAAAGGGGATAGTAAATGATTTTGGTCAAAACGTTGCAGTTTTTTCATCTTTTGTGTTTATCAAAATGAGATCGAGAAAAAGTGTTTGCTGACGTTCTAGATAAAAAGAAAGCTTTTAAAGACTATAAAAACAACTGTTTACGAAAAACGCAAAATTAGAATTTTTCCAAAGGGGTTAGTCCATCGTTTTGATCAAAAATTAGAGATTTCTTTAACTTTGATTTTTATGCAAAATAGACTAAGAAAAAGTATCTGGGAACGTTCTATTTAGAAAAACGTTTCTATAATCCTTTGTAACCCCCGGTAACCGGTTTTTGTAATCGGTTTCAAAAACCCAAAAAAATTGGTATTTTTGCTAAGGGGTTAGTCCATGGTTTTGGTCAAAAATTGGAAATTTTGTGAACGTTTCGTTTTATGCAAAATACACCCACAAAAAGTATTTGGTGACCTTCTCGTTAGAAAACAAGCCTTCCTAGGCAATATAAAGATGGATTTAAAAAGAAGGCAAAATTGGCATTTTTGCAAAGGGGATAGTCGATGATTTTGGTCAAAAAGTTGAAGTTTTTTCATCTTTTGTGTTTATCAAAATGAGATCGAGAAAAAGTGTTTGCTGACGTTCTAGATAAAAAGAAAGCTTTTAAAGACTATAAAAACAACTGTTTACGAAAAACGGAAAATTAGAATTTTTCCAAAGGGGTTAGTCCATCGTTTTGATCAAAAATTAGAGAGTTCTTTAACTTTGATTTTTATGCAAAATAGACCAAGAAAAAGTATCTGGGAACGTTCTATTTAGAAAAACGTTTCTATAATCCTTTGTAACCCCCTATAACCGGTTTTTGTAATCGGTTTCAAAAACCCACAAAATTGGTATTTTTGCAAAGGGGTTAGTCGATGGTTTTGGTGAAAAATTGGAAATTTTGTGAACGTTTCGTGTTATGCAAAATACACCCAGAAAAAGTATTTGGTGACGTTTGCGTTAGAAAACAAGCCTTCCTAGACAATATAAACATGGATTTAAAAAGAAGGCAAAATTTGCATTTTTGCAAAGGGGATAGTCCATGATTTTGGTAAAAAAGTTTAAGTTTTTTCATCTTTTGTATTTATCAAAAATAGATCGAGAAAAAGTGTTCGCTGATGTTCTAGATAAAAAGAAAGCCTTTAAAGACTATAAAAACAACTGTTTACGAAAAACGCAAAATTAGAATTTTTCCAAAGGGGTTAGTCCATCGTTTTGATCAAAAATTAGAGAGTTCTTTAACTTTGATTTTTATGCAAAATAGACCAAGAAAAAGTATCTGGGAACGTTCTATTTAGAAAAACGTTTCTATAATCCTTTGTAACCCCCTGTAACCGGTTTTTGTAATCGGTTTCAAAAACCCACAAATTTGGTATTTTTGCAAAGGGGTTGGTCGATGGTTTTGGTGAAAAATTGGAAATTTTGTGAACGTTTCGTGTTATGCAAAATACACCCAGAAAAAGTATTTGGTGACGTTTGCGTTAGAAAACAAGCCTTCCTAGACAATATAAACATGGATTTAAAAAGAAGGCAAAATTGGCATTTTTGCAAAGGGGATAGTCCATGATTTTGGTCAAAAAGTTTAAGTTTTTTCATCTTTTGTATTTATCAAAAATAGATCGAGAAAAAGTGTTCGCTGACGTTCTAGATAAAAAGAAAGCCTTTAAAAACTATAAAAACAACTGTTTACGAAAAACGCAAAATTAGAATTTTTCCAAAGGGGTTAGTCCATCGTTTTGATCAAAAATTAGAGAGTTCTTTAACTTTGACTTTTATGCAAAATAGACCAAGAAAAAGTATCTGGGAACGTTCTATTTAGAAAAACGTTTCTATAATCCTTTGTAACCCCCTATAACCGGTTTTTGTAATCGGTTTCAAAAACCCACAAAATTAGCATTTTTGCAAAGGGGTTAGTCCATGGTTTTGGTCAAAAATTGGAAATTTTGTGAACGTTTCGTTTTATGCAAAATACACCCACAAAAAGTATTTGGTGACCTTCTCGTTAGAAAACAAGCCTTCCTAGGCAATATAAAGATGGATTTAAAAAGAAGGCAAAATTGGCATTTTTGCAAAGGGGATAGTCCATGATTTTGGTCAAAAAGTTGAAGTTTTTTCATCTTTTGTATTTATCAAAAATAGATCGAGAAAAAGTGTTCGCTGATGTTCTAGATAAAAAGAAAGCCTTTAAAGACTATAAAAACAACTGTTTACGAAAAACGCAAAATTAGAATTTTTCCAAAGGGGTTAGTCCATCGTTTTGATCAAAAATTAGAGAGTTCTTTAACTTTGATTTTTATGCAAAATAGACCAAGAAAAAGTATCTGGGAACGTTCTATTTAGAAAAACGTTTCTATAATCCTTTGTAACCCCCTGTAACCGGTTTTTGTAATCAGTTTCAAAAACCCACAAAATTGGTATTTTTGCAAAGGGGTTAGTCGATGGTTTTGGTAAAAAATTGGAAATTTTGTGAACGTTTCGTGTTATGCAAAATACACCCAGAAAAAGTATTTGGTGACGTTTGCGTTAGAAAACAAGCCTTCCTAGACAATATAAACATGGATTTAAAAACAAGGCAAAATTGGCATTTTTGCAAAGGGGATAGTCCATGATTTTGGTAAAAAAGTTTAAGTTTTTTCATCTTTTGTATTTATCAAAAATAGATCGAGAAAAAGTGTTCGCTGACGTTCTAGATAAAAAGAAAGCCTTTAAAAACTATAAAAACAACTGTTTACGAAAAACGCAAAATTAGAATTTTTCCAAAGGGGTTAGTCCATCGTTTTGATCAAAAATTAGAGAGTTCTTTAACTTTGACTTTTATGCAAAATAGACCAAGAAAAAGTATCTGGGAACGTTCTAGTTAGAAAAAGTTTCTATAATCCTTTGTAACCCCCTGTAACCCCTTGTAACCCCCTGTCACCCCTTGTAACCCCTTGTAACTCCCTCTAACCCCTTGTAACCCCTTGTAACCCCTTGTAACCCCTTGTAACCCCTTGTAACCCCCTGTAACCCCTTGTAACCCCTTGTAACCCCCTGTAATCCCTTGTAACCCCCTGTATTCCCATGTCATAGATTGTGAAAATAAATCGTGAAAAAATGATTTTCGACGTTTTATATAGCAAACAAGTCTTTCTGAACAAGAAAAACATGGGTTTCAAAAACCCACAAAATTGGCATTTTTGCAAAGGGGTTAGTTAGTCCATGGTTTTGGTCAAAAATTGGAAATTTTGTGAACGTTTCGTTTTATGCAAAATACACCCAGAAAAAGTATTTGGTGACGTTGTCGTTAGAAAACAAGCCTTTCTAGACAATATAAACATGGATTTAAAAAGAAGGCAAAATTGGCATTTCTGCAAAGGGGATAGTCCATGGTTTTGGTCAAAAAGTTGAAGTTTTTTCATCTTTTGTATTTATCAAAAATAGATCGAGAAAAAGTGTTTGCTGACGTTCTAGATAAAAAAGAAGCCTTTAAAGACTATAAAAACAACTGTTTACGAAAAACGGAAAATTAGAATTTTTCCAAAGGGGTTAGTCCATCGTTTAGATCAAAAATTAGCGATTTCTTTAAGTTTGATTTTTATGCAAAATAGACCAAGAAAAAGTATCTGGGAACGTTCTAGTTAGAAAAAAGTTTCTATAATCCTTTGTAACCCCCTGTAACCCCTTATCACCCCATGTCGCCCCTTGTAACCCCTTGAAACCCCCTGTAACCCCTTGTAACCCCCTGTAACCCCTTGTAACCCCCTGTAACCCCTTGTAACCCCTTGTAACCCCCTGTAATCCCTTGTAACCCCCTGTATTCCCATGTCATAGATTGTGAAAATAAATCGTGAAAAAATGATTTTCGACGTTTTATATAGCAAACAAGTCTTTCTGAACAAGAAAAACATCGGTTTCAAAAACCCACAAAATTGACATTTTTGCAAAGGGGTTAGTCCATGGTTTTGGTCAAAAATTGGAAATTTTGTGAACGTTTCTTTTTCTGCAAAATACACCCAGAAAAAGTATTTGGTGACGTTCTCGTTAGAAAATAAGCCTTCCTAGAAAATATAAACATGGATTTAAAAAGAAGGCAAAATTGGCATTTTTGCTGAGGGGATATTCCATGATTTTGGTCAAAAAGTTGAAGTTGTTTCATCTTTTGTATTTATCAAAAATAGATCGAGAAAAAGTGTTTGCTTACGTTCTAGATAAAAAAGAAGTCTTTAAAGACTATAAAAACAAGTGTTTACGAAAAACGCAGAATTAGAATTTTTCCAAACGGGTTAGTCCATCGTTTTGATCAAAAATTAGAGATTTCTTTAACTTTGATTTTTATGCAAAATAGACCAAGAAAAAGTATCTGGGAACGTTCTATTTAGAAAAACGTTTCTATAATCCTTTGTAACACCCTGTAACCGGTTTTTCTAATCGGTTTCAAACACCCACAAAATTGGCATTTGTGGAAAGGGGTTAGTCCATGGTTTTGGTCAAAAATTGGAAATTGTGTGAACGTTTCGTTTTTTTGAAATACACCAAGAAAAAGTATTTGGTAACGTTCCCGTTAGAAAACAAGCCTTTCTAGACAATATAAACATGGATTTAAAAAGAAGGCAAAATTGGCATTTTTGCAAAGGGGATAGTCCATGATTTTGGTCAAAAAGTTGAAGTTTTTTCATGTTTTGTATTTATCAAAAATAGATCGAGAAAAAGTTTTTGCTGACGTTCTAGATAAAGAGGAAGCCTTTAAAGACTATAAAAACAACTGTTTACGAAAAACGGAAAATTAGATTTTTTCCAAAGTGGATAGTGCATCGTTTAGATCAAAAATTAGAGATTTCTTTAACTTTGATTTTTATGCAAAATAGACCAAGAAAAAGTATCTGGGAACGTTCTAGTTAGAAAAAAGTTTCTATAATCCTTTGTAACCCCCTTTAACCCCTTATCTCCCCCTGTCGCCCCTTGTAACCCCTTGTAACCCCCTGTAACCCCTTGTAACCCCTTGTAACCCCCTTTAACCCCGTGTATTCCCATGTCATAGATCGTGAAAAAAAATCGTGAAAAATCGATTTTCGACGTTTTACATAGCAAACAAGCCTTTCTAAAAAAGAAAAACATCGGTTTCAAAAACCCACAAAATTGGCATTTTTGGAAAGGGGTTAGTCCATGGTTTTGTTCAAAAATTGGAAATTTTGTGAACGTTTCGTTTTATGCAAAATACATCCAGAAAAAGTATTTGGTGACATTTCCGTTAGAAAACAAGCCTTTCTAGACAGTATAAAGATGGAGTTAAAAAGAAGGGAAAATTGGCATTTTTTCAAAGGGGATAGTCCATGATTTTGGTTAAAAAGTTAAAGTCTTTTCATCTTTTGTATCTATCAAAAATAGATCGAGAAAAAGTGTTTGCTGACGTTCTAGATAAAAAAGAAGCTTTTAAAGACTATAAAAACAACTGTTTACGAAAAACGCAAAATTAGAATTTTTTCAAAGGGGTTAGTCCATCGTTTTGATCAAAAATTAGAGAGTTCTTTAACTTTGATTTTTATGCAAAATAGACCAAGAAAACGTATCTGGGAACGTTCTAGTTAGAAAAAGTTTCTATAATCCTTTGTAACCCCCTGTAACCGGTTTTTGTAATCGGTTTCAAAAACCCACAAAATTGGTATTTTTGCAAAGGGGTTGGTCGATGGTTTTGGTAAAAAATTGGAAATTTTGTGAACGTTTCGTGTTATGCAAAATACACCCAGATAAAGTATTTGGTGACGTTTGCGTTAGAAAACAAGCCTTCCTAGACAATATAAACATGGATTTAAAAAGAAGGCAAAATTGGCATTTTTGCAAAGGGGATAGTCCATGATTTTGGTAAAAAAGTTTAAGTTTTTTCATCTTTTGTATTTATCAAAAATAGATCGAGAAAAAGTGTTCGCTGACGTTCTAGATAAAAAGAAAGCCTTTAAAAACTCTAAAAACAACTGTTTACGAAAAACGCAAAATTAGAATTTTTCCAAAGGGGTTAGTCCATCGTTTTGATCAAAAATTAGAGATTTCTTTAAGTTTGATTTTTATGCAAAATAGACCAAGAAAAAGTATCTGGGAACTTTCTAGTTAGAAAAAGTTTCTATAATCCTTTGTAACCCCCTGTAACCCCTTGTAACCCCCTGTCACCCCTTGTCACCCCTTGTAATCCCCTGTAACCCTTTGAAACCCCTTGTAACCCCTTGTAACCCCTTGTAATCCCTTGTAACCCCCTGTAATCCCTTGTAACCCCCTGTATTCCCATGTCATAGATTGTGAAAATAAATGGTGAAAAAATGATTTTCGACGTTTTATATAGCAAACAAGCTTTTCTGAACAAGAAAAACATCGGTTTCAAAAACCCACAAAATTGGCATTTTTGCAAAGGGGTTAGTTAGTCCATGGTTTTGGTCAAAAGTTGGAAATTTTGTGAACGTTTCGTTTTATGCAAAATACACCCAGATAAAGTATTTGGTGACGTTGTCGTTAGAAAACAAGCCTTTCTAGACAATATAAACATGGATTTAAAAAGAAGGCAAAATTGGCATTTCTGCAAAGGGGATAGTCCATGATTTTGGTCAAAAAGTTGAAGTTTTTTCATCTTTTGTATTTATCAAAAATAGATCGAGAAAAAGTGTTTGCTGACGTTCTAGATAAAAAAGAAGCCTTTAAAGACTATAAAAACAACTGTTTACGAAAAACGGAAAATTAGAATTTTTCCAAAGGGGTTAGTCCATCGTTTAGATCAAAAATTAGAGATTTCTTTAAGTTTGATTTTTATGCAAAATAGACCAAGAAAAAGTATCTGGGAACGTTCTAGTTAGAAAAAAGTTTCTATAATCCTTTGTAACCCCCTGTAACCCCTTATCACCCCCTGTCGCCCCTTGTAACCCCTTGAAACCCCCTGTAACCCCTTGTAACCCCCTGTAACCCCTTGTAACCCCTTGTAACCCCCGGTAACCCCTTGTAACCCCCTGTATTCCCATGTCATAGATCGTGAAAATAAAACGTGAAAAAACGATTTTCGACGTTTTATATAGCAAACAAGCCTTTCTGAATAAGAAAAACATCGGTTTCAAAAACCCACAAAATTGACACTTTTGCAAAGGGGTTAGTCCATGGTTTTGGTCAAAAATTGGAAATTTTGTGAACGTTTCTTTTTCTGCAAAATACACCCAGAAAAACTCTTTGGTGACGTTCTCGTTAGAAAATAAGCCTTCCTAGAAAATATAAACATGGATTTAAAAAGAAGGCAAAATCGGCATTTTTGCTGAGGGGATAGTCCATGATTTTGGTCAAAAAGTTGAAGTTGTTTCATCTTTTGTATTTATCAAAAATAGATCGAGAAAAAGTGTTTGCTTACGTTCTAGATAAAAAAGAAGTCATTAAAGACTATAAAAACAAGTGTTTACGAAAAACGCAGATTTAGAATTTTTCCAAACGGGTTAGTCCATCGTTTTGATCAAAAATTAGAGATTTCTTTAACTTTGATTTTTATGCAAAATAGACCAAGAAAAAGTATCTGGGAACGTTCTATTTAGAAAAAGGTTTCTATAATCCTTTGTAACACCCTGTAACCGGTTTTTCTAATCGGTTTCAAACACCCACAAAATTGGCATTTTTGGAAAGGGGTTAGTCCATGGTTTTGGTCAAAAATTGGAAATTGTGTGAACGTTTCGTTTTTTTGAAATACACCCAGAAAAAGTATTTGGTAACGTTCCCGTTAGAAAACAAGCCTTTCTAGACAATATAAACATGGATTTAAAGGGACTGGTTCACGATAATGCGCATGCGCGCCGTTTGTCTCTTCAGAATAAATTTGTTGGGTCAACACTAAATTCGAAATCGCCATTACCGGTACAATCATTGAAAATCCTTCGTTTTATTCGGACATCCGTCGCTTTGGCTGGTCTAGTTATACTTCGGTAGTGGTGATTAACGTGTGGTTGTGTCGTTTGACTGGTTGCGTTTTAAGAAGACGCAAAAAATAATGTTTTGATTATGGAGGTTCAGAAAAGCATCGTGGCCGTCCGGCAACAGGACGTTCTCAAGAGTCTCTGGAGATAGAGAAGCTTAACCTATCGAACTGGTATGGTTCTAGGAGTAGTGTGTGGCATACGAAAAGAATACACGAGCCTTGGAAAGTGGTTAAAGGCATGAGTTCGTTCAACTTTGATTTGATTTTTGACTCCGACCTGTAGTTATACCGCAACAGGCCGCGCGATCTTTACCGATCTGGTACACTTGAAATGTTCCTTGTATCTTTGCTTTACGAACGTATATGTTTAAGAATTGATGTTTTTAAAATAAATTATTGCCTGAATATTCTGTTTATAATCTAGTTTCTTTATGTGTGCTACTCGATAACATTTGTTTTGCGGAACATTGACCCGATGCAACGCGAATGAATTTGTTCATTTGCTGATAAGCAATTGAAATTTATGCTCAATTAAGGATAATCTTTATACTCATACGTTGTGTGTTTTTGTCACCGGTCAGGCGCTATTTGTAGGTATTTCTGGGTTTATATAAGGCGAACTGAGAGAACAGTAATAAGATGTTTGTTTACAAATTTTGTTTGCCGATCGGTGACTGTTTTGTTAGCGTGGGTACGACCTCGTAAAAATACACGTTGGTAAATGTTTGTTTCAAAGCAAGACAGGGCTGTAAATCTTATTCTTATCGGCTGCAACATATATCTGAGGAGTAGCAAAGAATAAACTTGAATTATGGAGATAAATAAATTCAAACCAAATGCCCGGAAATACTCTCGCGTCGCGAACAATTAATTTGAATTTTGTAAATCTACTTGCGTGCATCTAACTCGCTTCCGATTGGTTGAAAAACAATCAGCTACTGTCAGAACTCACACATGCGCATTATCGTGAACCAGTCCCTTTAAAAAGAAGGCAAAATTGGCATTATTGCAAAGGGGATAGTCCATGATTTTGGTCAAAAAGGTGAAGTTTTTTCATGTTTTGTATTTATCAAAAATAGATCGAGAAAAAGTGTTTGCTGACGTTCTAGATAAAAAAGAAGCCTTTAAAGACTATAAAAACAACTGTTTACGAAAAACGGAAAATTAGATTTTTTCCAAAGTGGATAGTGCATCGTTTAGATCAAAAATTAGAGAGTTCTTTAACTTTGATTTTTATGCAAAATAGACCAAGAAAAAGTATCTGGGAACGTTCTAGTTAGAAAAAAGTTTCTATAATCCTTTGTAACCCCCTGTAACCCCTTATCACCCCCTGTCGCCCCTTGTAACCCCTTGTAACCCCCTGTAACCCCTTGTAACCCCTTGTAACCCCCTTTAACCCCATGTATTCCCATGTCAAAGATCGTGAAAAAAAATCGTGAAAAATCGATTTTCGACGTTTTACATAGCAAACAAGCCTTTCTAAACAAGAAAAACATCGGTTTCAAAAACCCACAAAATTAGCATTTTTGGAAAGGGGTTAGTCCATGGTTTTGTTCAAAAATTGGAAATCTTGTGAACGTTTCGTTTTATGCAAAATACACCCAGAAAAAGTATTTGGTGACATTTCCGTTAGAAAACAAGCCTTTCTAGACAGTATAAAGATGGAGTTAAAAAGAAGGGAAAATTGGCATTTTTGCAAAGGGGATAGTCCATGATTTTGGTTAAAAAGTTAAAGTCTTTTCATCTTTTGTATTTATCAAAAATAGATCGAGAAAAAGTGTTTGCTGACGTTCTAGATAAAAAAGAAGCCTTTAAAGACTATAAAAACAACTGTTTACTAAAAACGCAATATTAGAATTTTTCCAAAGGGGTTAGTCCATCGTTTTGATCAAAAATTAGAGATTTCTTTAACTTTGATTTCTATGCAAAATAGACCAAGAAAAAGTATCTGGGAACGTTCTAGTTAGAAAAAGTTTCTATAATCCTTTGTAACCCCCTGTAACCCCTTGTAACCCCCTGTCACCCCTTGTAACCCCTTGTAACCCCCTGTAAACCCTTGTAACCCCTTGTAACCCCTTGTAACCCCCTGTAATCCCTTGTAACCCCCTGTATTCCCATGTCATAGATTGTGAAAATAAATCGTGAAAAAATGATTTTCGACGTTTTATATAGCAAACAAGCCTTTCTGAACAAGAAAAACATCGGTTTCAAAAACCCACAAAATTGGCATTTTTGCAAAGGGGTTAGTCCATGGTTTTGGTCAAAAATTGGAAATTTTGTGAACGTTTCGTTTTATGCAAAATACACCCAGAAAAAGTATTTGGTGACGTTGTCGTTAGAAAACAAGCCTTTCTAGACAATATAAACATGGATTTAAAAAGAAGGCAAAATTGGCATTTTTGCAAAGGGGATAGTCCATGATTTTGGTCAAAAAGTTGAAGTTTTTTCATCTTTTGTATTTATCAAAAATAGATCGAGAAAAAGTGTTTGCTGACGTTCTAGATAAAAAAGAAGCCTTTAAAGACTATAAAAACAACTCTTTACGAAAAACGCAAAATTAGAATTTTTCCAAAGGGGTTAGTCCATCGTTTAGATCAAAAATTAGAGATTTCTTTAAGTTTGATTTTTATGCAAAATAGACCAAGAAAAAGTATCTGGGAACGTTCTAGTTAGAAAAAAGTTTCTATAATCCTTAGTAACCCCCTGTAACCCCTTATCACCCCCTGTCGCCCCTTGTAACCCCTTGAAACCCCCTGTAACCCCTTGTAACCCCCTGTAACTCCTTGTAACCCCTTGTAACCCCCTGTAACCCCTTGTAACCCCCTGTATTTCCATGTCATAGATCGTGAAAATAAAACGTGAAAAAACGATTTTCGACGTTTTATATAGCAAACAAGCCTTTCTGAACAAGAAAAACATCGGTTTCAAAAACCCACAAAATTGACATTTTTGCAAAGGGGTTAGTCCATGGTTTTGGTCAAAAATTGGAAATTTTGTGAACGTTTCTTTTTCTGCAAAATACACCCAGAAAAACTATTTGGTGACGTTCTCGTTAGAAAATAAGCCTTCCTAGAAAATATAAACATGGATTTAAAAAGAAGGCAAAATTGGCATTTTTGCTGAGGGGATATTCCATGATTTTGGTCAAAAAGTTGAAGTTTTTTCATCTTTTGTATTTATCAAAAATAGATCGAGAAAAAGTGTTTGCTGACGTTCTAGATAAAAAAGAAGTCTTTAAAGACTATAAAAACAAGTGTTTACGAAAAACGCAGATTTAGAATTTTTCCAAACGGGTTAGTCCATCGTTTTGATCAAAAATTAGAGGTTTCTTTAACTTTGATTTTTATGCAAAATAGACCAAGAAAAAGTATCTGGGAACGTTCTATTTAGAAAAACGTTTCTATAATCCTTTGTAACACCCTGTAACCGGTTTTTCTAATCGGTTTCAAACACCCACAAAATTTGCATTTTTGCAAAGGGGTTAGTCCATGGTTTTGGTCAAAAATTGGAAATTGTGTGAACGTTTCGTTTTATTGAAATACACCCAGAAAAAGTATTTGGTGACGTTCTCGTTAGAAAAATAAGCCTTTCTAGACAATATAAGCATGGATTTAAAAAGAAGGCAAAATTGGCATTTTTGCAAAGGGGATAGTCCATGATTTTGATCAAAAAGGTAAAGTTTTTTCATGTTTTGTATTTATCAAAAATAGATCGAGAAAAAGTGTTTGCTGACGTTCTAGATAAAAAAGAAGCCTTTAAAGACTATAAAAACAACTTTTTACGAAAAACGGAAAATTAGAATTTTTCGAAAGTGGATAGTGCATCGTTTAGATCAAAAATTAGAGATTTCTTTAAGTTTGATTTTTATGCAAAATATACCAAGAAAAAGTATCTGGGAGCGTTCTAGTTAGAAAAAGTTTCTATAATCCTTTGTAACCCCCTGTAACCCCTTGTAACCCCTTGTAACCCCCTGTAACCCCTTGTAACCCCTTGTAACCCCTTGTAACCCCCTGTAATCCCTTGTAACCCCCTGTATTCCCATGTCATAGATTGTGAAAATAAATCGTGAAAAAATGATTTTCGACGTTCTATATAGCAAACAAGCCTTTCTGAACAAGAAAAACATCGGTTTCAAAAACCCACAAAATTGGCATTTTTGCAAAGGGGTTAGTCCATGGTTTTGGTCAAAAATTGGAAATTTTGTGAACGTTTCGTTTTATGCAAAATACACCCAGAAAAAGTATTTGGTGACGTTGTCGTTAGAAAACAAGCCTTTCTAGACAATATAAACATGGATTTAAAAAGAAGGCAAAATTGGCATTTTTGCAAAGGGGATAGTCCATGATTTTGGTCAAAAAGTTGAAGTTTTTTCATCTTTTGTATTTATCAAAAAAAGATCGACAAAAAGTGTTTGCTGACGTTCTAGATAAAAAAGAAGCCTTTAAAAGCTATAAAAACAACTGTTTACGAAAAACGGAAAATTAGAATTTTTCCAAAGGGGTTAGTCCATCGTTTAGATCAAAAATTAGAGATTTCTTTAAGTTTGATTTTTATGCAAAATAGACCAAGAAAAAGTATCTGGGAACGTTCTAGTTAGAAAAAAGTTTCTATAATCCTTAGTAACCCCCTGTAACCCCTTATCACTTCCTGTCGCCCCTTGTAACCCCTTGAAACCCCCTGTAACCCCTTGTAACTCCCTGTAACCCCTTGTAACCTCTTGTAACCGAATGTAACCCCTTGTAACCCCCTGTATTTCCATGTCATAGATCGTGAAAATAAAACGTGAAAAAACGAATTTCGACGTTTTATATAGGAAACAAGCCTTTCTGAACAAGAAAAACATCGGTTTCAAAAACCCACAAAATTGACATTTTTGCAAAGGGGTTAGTCCATGGTTTTGGTCAAAAATTGGAAATTTTGTGAACGTTTCTTTTTCTGCAAAATACACCCAGAAAAACTATTTGGTGACGTTCTCGTTAGAAAATAAGCCTTCCTAGAAAATATAAACATGGATTTAAAAAGAAGGCAAAATTGGCATTTTTGCTGAGGGGATATTCCATGATTTTGGTCAAAAAGTTGAAGTTTTTTCATCTTTTGTATTTATCAAAAATAGATCGAGAAAAAGTGTTTGCTGACGTTCTAGATAAAAAAGAAGTCTTTAAAGACTATAAAAACAAGTGTTTACGAAAAACGCAGATTTAGAATTTTTCCAAACGGGTTAGTCCATCGTTTTGATCAAAAATTAGAGGTTTCTTTAACTTTGATTTTTATGCAAAATAGACCAAGAAAAAGTATCTGGGAACGTTCTATTTAGAAAAACGTTTCTATAATCCTTTGTAACACCCTGTAACCGGTTTTTCTAATCGGTTTCAAACACCCACAAAATTGGCATTTTTGCAAAGGGGTTAGTCCATGGTTTTGGTCAAAAATTGGAAATTGTGAACGTTTCGTTTTATTGAAATACACCCAGAAAAAGTATTTGGTGACGTTCCCGTTAGAAAAATAAGCCTTTCTAGACAATATAAACATGGATTTAAAAAGAAGGCAAAATTGGCATTTTTGCAAAGGGGATAGTCCATGATTTTGGTCAAAAAGGTAAAGTTTTTTCATGTTTTGTATTTATCAAAAATAGATCGAGAAAAAGTGTTTGCTGACGTTCTAGATAAAAAAGAAGCCTTTAAAGACTATAAAAACAACTGTTTACGAAAAACGGAAAATTAGAATTTTTCCAAAGTGGATAGTGCATCGTTTAGATCAAAAATTAGAGATTTCTTTAAGTTTGATTTTTATGCAAAATATACCAAGAAAAAGTATCTGAGAGCGTTCTAGTTAGAAAAAGTTTCTATAATCCTTTGTAACCCCCTGTAACCCCTTGTAATCCCCTGTCACCCCTTGTAACCCCTTGTAACCCCCTGTAACCCCTTGTTACCCCTTGTAACCCCTTGTAACCCCCTTTAATCCCTTGTAACCCCCTGTATTCCCATGTCATAGATTGTGAAAATAAATCGTGAAAAAATGATTTTCGACGTTTTATATAGCAAACAAGCCTTTCTGAACAAGAAAAACATCGGTTTCAAAAACCCACAAAATTGGCATTTTTGCAAAGGGGTTAGTCCATGGTTTTGGTCAAAAATTGGAAATTTTGTGAACGTTTCGTTTTATGCAAAATACACCCACAAAAAGTATTTGGTGACGTTGTCGTTAGAAAACAAGCCTTTCTAGACAATATAAACATGGATTTAAAAAGAAGGCAAAATTGGCATTTTTGCAAAGGGGATAGTCCATGATTTTGGTCAAAAAGTTGAAGATTTTTCATCTTTTGAATTTATTAAAAATAGATCGAGAAAAAGTGTTTGCTGACGTTCTAGATAAAAAAGAAGCCTTTAAAGACTATAAAAACAACTGTTTACGAAAAACGGAAAATTAGAATTTTTCCAAAGGGGTTAGTCCATCGTTTAGATCAAAAATTAGAGATTTCTTTAAGTTTGATTTTTATGCAAAATAGACCAAGAAAAAGTATCTGGGAACGTTCTGGTTAGAAAAAAGTTTCTATAATCCTTTGTAACCCCCTGTAACCCCTTATCACCCCCTGTCGCCCCTTGTAACCCCTTGAAACCCCCTGTAACCCCTTGTAACCCCCTGTAACCCCTTGTAACCCCTTGTAACCCCCTGTAACCCCTTGTAACCCCCTGTATTCCCATGTCATAGATCGTGAAAATAAAACGTGAAAAAACGATTTTCGACGTTTTATATAGAAAACAAGCCTTTCTGAACAAGAAAAACATCGGTTTCAAAAACCCACAAAATTGATATTTTTGCAAAGGGGTTAGTCCATGGTTTTGGTTAAAAATTGGAAATTTTGTGAACGTTTCTTTTTCTGCAAAATACACCCAGAAAAACTATTTGGTGACATTTCCGTTAGAAAACAAGCCTTTCTAGACAGTATAAAGATGGAGTTAAAAAGAAGGGAAAATTGGCATTTTTGCAAAGGGGATAGTCCATGATTTTGGTTAAAAAGTTAAAGTCTTTTCATCTTTTGTATTTATCAAAAATAGATCGAGAAAAAGTGTTTGCTGACGGTCTAGATAAAAAAGAAGTCTTTAAAGACTATAAAAACAACTGTTTACGAAAAACGAAAAATTAGAATTTTTCCAAAGGGGTTAGTCCATCGTTTTGATCAAAAATTAGAGATTTCTTTAACTTTGATTTTTATGCAAAATAGACCAAGAAAAAGTATCTGGGAACGTTCTAGTTAGAAAAAGTTTCTATAATCCTTTGTAACCCCCTGTAACCCCTTGTAACCCCCTGTCACCCCTTGTAACCCGTTGTAACCCCCTGTTACCGCTTGTCACCCCCTGTCACCCCTTGTAACCCCTTGTAACCCCCTGTAACCCCTTGTAACCCCCTGTATTCCCATGTCATAGATCGTGAAATTAAATCGTGAAAAAATGATTTTCCACGTTTTATATAGCAAACAAGCCTTTCTGAACAAGAAAAACATCGGTTTCAAAAACCCACAAAATTGGCACTTTTTCAAAGGCTTTAGTCCATGGTTTTGGTCAAAAATTTGAAATTTTGTGAAGGTTTCGTTTTATGCAAAATACACCCAGAAAAAGTATTTGGTGACGTTCTCGTTAGAAAACAAGCCTTTCTAGACAATATAAACATGGATTTAAAAAGAAGGCAAAATTGGCATTTTTGCAAATTGGCATTTTTGAAAATTTGCAAATTGGCATTTTTGCATTTTTCCATGATTTTGGTCAAAAAGTTGAAGTTTTTTCATCTTTTGTATTTATCAAAATTAGATCGAGAAAAAGTGTTTGCTGACGTTCTAGATAAAAAAGAAGCCTTTAAAGACTATGAAAACAACTGTTTACGAAAAACGCAAAATTAGAATTTTTCCAAAGGGGTTAGTCCATCGTTTTGATCAAAAATTCGAGATTTCTTTAAGTTTGATTTTTATGCAAAATAGACCAAGAAAAAGTATCTGGGAACGTTCTGGTTAGAAAAAAGTTTCTATAATCCTTTGTAACCCCCTGTAACCCCTTATCACCCCCTGTCGCCCCTTGTAACCCCTTGAAACCCCCTGTAACCCCTTGTAACCCCCTGTAACCCCTTGTAACCCCTTGTAACCCCCTGTAACCCCTTGTAACCCCCTGTATTCCTATGTCATAGATCGTGAAAATAAAACGTGAAAAAACGATTTTCGACGTTTTATATAGCAAACAAGCCTTTCTGAACAAGAAAAACAACGGTTTCAAGAACCCACAAAATTGACATTTTTGCAAAGGGGTTAGTCCATGGTTTTGGTCAAAAATTGGAAATTTTGTGAACGTTTCTTTTTCTGCAAAATACACCCAGAAAAGAAGGCAAAATTGGCATTTTTGCTGAGGGGATATTCCATGATTTTGGTCAAAAAGTTGAAGTTTTTTCATCTTTTGTATTTATCAAAAATAGATCGAGAAAAAGTGTTTGCTGACGTTCTAGATAAAAAAGAAGTTTTTAAAGACTATAAAAACAAGTGTTTACGAAAAACGCAGAATTAGAATTTTTCCAAACGGGTTAGTCCATCGTTTTGATCAAAAATTAGAGGTTTCTTTAACTTTGATTTTTATGCAAAATAGACCAAGAAAAAGTATCTGGGAACGTTCTATTTAGAAAAACGTTTCTATAATCCTTTGTAACACCCTGTAACCGGTTTTTCTAATCGGTTTCAAACACCCACAAAATTGGCATTTTTGCAAAGGGGTTAGTCCATGGTTTTGGTCAAAAATTGGAAATTGTGTGAACGTTTCGTTTTATTGAAATACACCCAGAAAAAGTATTTGGTGACGTTCCCGTTAGAAAAATAAGCCTTTCTAGACAATATAAGCATGGATTTAAAAAGAAGGCAAAATTGGCATTTTTGCAAAGGGGATAGTCCATGATTTTGGTCAAAAAGGTAAAGTTTTTTCATGTTTTGTATTTATCAAAAATAGATCGAGAAAAAGTGTTTGCTGACGTTCTAGATAAAAAAGAAGCCTTTAAAGACTATAAAAACAACTGTTTACGAAAAACGGAAAATTAGAATTTTTCCAAAGTGGATAGTGCATCGTTTAGATTAAAAATTAGAGATTTCTTTAACTTTGATTTTTATGCAAAATATACCAAGAAAAAGTATGTGCGAACGTTCTAGTTAGAAAAAGTTTCTATAATCCTTTGTAACCCCCTGTAACCCCTTGTAACCCCCTGTCACCTCTTGTAACCCCTTGTAACCCCCTGTAACACCTTGTAACCCCTTGTAACCCCTTGTAACCCCCTGTAATCCCTTGTAACCCCCTGTATTCCCATGTCATAGATTGTGAAAATAAATCGTGAAAAAATGATTTTCGACGTTTTATATAGCAAAGAAGCCTTTCTGAACAAGAAAAACATCGGTTTCAAAAACCCACAAAATTGGCATTTTTGCAAAGGGGTTAGTCCATGGTTTTGGTCAAAAGTTGGAAATTTTGTGAACGTTTCGTTTTATGCAAAATACACCCAGAAAAAGTATTTGGTGACGTTGTCGTTAGAAAACAAGCCTTTCTAGACAATATAAGCATGGATTTAAAAAGAAGGCAAAATTGGCATTTTTGCAAAGGAGATAGTCCATGATTTTGGTCAAAAAGTTGAAGATTTTTCATCTTTTGTATTTATCAAAAATAGATCGAGAAAAAGTGTTTGCTGACGTTCTAGATAAAAAAGAAGCCTTTAAAGACTATAAAAACAACTGTTTACGAAAAACGGAAAATTAGAATTTTTCCAAAGTGGATATTGCATCGTTTAGATCAAAAATTAGAGATTTCTTTAACTTTGATTTTTATGCAAAATATACCAAGAAAAAGTATGTGCGAACGTTCTAGTTAGAAAAAGTTTCTATAATCCTTTGTAACCCCCTGTAACCCCTTGTAACCCCCTGTCACCTCTTGTAACCCCTTGTAACCCCCTGTAACCCCTTGTAACCCCTTGTAACCCCTTGTAACCCCCTGTAATCCCTTGTAACCCCCTGTATTCCCATGTCATAGATTGTGAAAATAAATCGTGAAAAAATGATTTTCGACGTTTTATATAGCAAAGAAGCCTTTCTGAACAAGAAAAACATCGGTTTCAAAAACCCACAAAATTGGCATTTTTGCAAAGGGGTTAGTCCATGGTTTTGGTCAAAAGTTGGAAATTTTGAGAACGTTTCGTTTTATGCAAAATACACCCAGAGAAAGTATTTGGTGACGTTGTCGTTAGAAAACAAGCCTTTCTAGACAATATAAGCATGGATTTAAAAAGAAGGCAAAATTGGCATTTTTGCAAAGGAGATAGTCCATGATTTTGGTCAAAAAGTTGAAGATTTTTCATCTTTTGTATTTATCAAAAATAGATCGAGAAAAAGTGTTTGCTGACGTTCTAGATAAAAAAGAAGCCTTTAAAGACTATAAAAACAACTGTTTACGAAAAACGGAAAATTAGAATTTTTCCAAAGTGGATAGTGCATCGTTTAGATCAAAAATTAGAGATTTCTTTAACTTTGATTTTTATGCAAAATATACCAAGAAAAAGTATGTGGGAACGTTCTAGTTAGAAAAAGTTTCTATAATCCTTTGTAACCCCCTGTAACCCCTTGTAACCCCCTGTCACCCCTTGTAACCCCTTGTAACCCCCTGTAACCCCTTGTAACCCCTTGTAACCCCTTGTAACCCCCTGTAATCCCTTGTAACCCCCTGTATTCCCATGTCATAGATTGTGAAAATAAATCGTGAAAAAATGATTTTCGACGTTTTATATAGCAAACAAGCCTTTCTGAACAAGAAAAACATCGGTTTCAAAAACCCACAAAATTGGCATTTTTGCAAAGGGGTTAGTCCATGGTTTTGGTCAAAAGTTGGAAATTTTGTGAACGTTTCGTTTTATGCAAAATACACCCAGATAAAGTATTTGGTGACGTTGTCGTTAGAAAACAAGCCTTCGTAGACAATATAAACATGGATTTAAAAAGAAGGCAAAATTCGCATTTTTGCAAAGGGGATAGTCCATGATTTTGGTCAAAAAGTTGAAGATTTTTCATCTTTTGTATTTATCAAAAATAGATCGAGAAAAAGTGTTTGCTGACGTTCTAGATAAAAAAGAAGCCTTTAGAGACTATAAAAACAACTGTTTACGAAAAACGGAAAATTAGAATTTTTCCAAAGGGGTTAGTCCATCGTTTAGATCAAAAATTAGAGATTTCTTTAAGTTTGATTTTTATGCAGAATAGACCAAGAAAAAGTATCTGGGAACGTTCTAGTTAGAAAAAAGTTTCTATAATCCTTTGTAACCCCCTGTAACCCCTTATCACCCCCTGTCGCCCCTTGTAACCCCTTGAAACCCCCTGTAACCCCTTGTAACCCCCTGTAACCCCTTGTAACCCCTTGTAACCCCCTGTAACCCCTTGTAACCCCCTGTATTCCCATGTCATAGATCGTGAAAATAAAACGTGAAAAAACGATTTTCGACGTTTTATATAGCAAACAAGCCTTTCTGAACAAGAAAAACATCGGTTTCAAAAACCCACAAAATTGACATTTTTGCAAAGGGGTTAGTCCATGGTTTTGGTCAAAAATTGGAAATTTTGTGAACGTTTCTTTTTCTGCAAAATACACCCAGAAAAACTATTTGGTGACGTTCTCGTTAGAAAATAAGCCTTCCTAGAAGATATAAACATGGATTTAAAAAGAAGGCAAAATTGGCATTTTTGCTGAGGGGATATTCCATGATTTTGGTCAAAAAGTTAACGTTTTTTCATCTTTTGTATTTATCAAAAATAGATCGAGAAAAAGCGTTTGCTGACGTTCTAGATAAAAAAGAAGCCTTTAAAGACTATAAAAACAACTGTTTACGAAAAACGGAAAATTAGAATTTTTCCAAAGTGGATAGTGCATCATTTAGATCAAAAATTAGAGATTTCTTTAAGTTTGATTTTTATGGAAAATAGACCAAGTAAAAGTATCTGGGAACGTTCTAGTTAGAAAAAAGTTTCTATAATCCTTTGGAACACCCTGTATCCGGTTTTTCTAATCGGTTTCAAACACCCACAAAATTGGCATTTTTGCAAAGGGGTTAGTCCATGGTTTTGGTCAAAAATTGGAAATTGTGTGAACGTTTCGTTTTATTAAAATACACCCAGAAAAAGTATTTGGTGACGTTCCCGTTAGAAAACAAACCTTTCTAGACAATATAAACATGGATTTAAAAAGAAGGCAAAATTGGCATTTTTGCAAAGGGGATAGTCCATGATTTTGGTCAAAAAGGTGAAGTTTTTTCATGTTTTGTATTTATAAAAAATAGATCGAGAAAAAGTGTTTGCTGACGTTCGAGATAAAAAAGAAGCCTTTAAAGACTATAAAAACAACTGTTTACGAAAAACGGAAAATTAGAATTTTTCCAAAGTGAATAGTGCATGGTTTAGATCAAAAATTAGAGATTTCTTTAAGTTTGATTTTGATGGAAAATAGACCACGAAAAAGTATCTGGGAACGTTCTAGTTAGAAAAAAGTTTTTATAATCCTTTGTAACCCCCTGTAACCCCTTATCTCCCCCTGTCGCCCCTTGTAACCCCTTGTAACCCTCTGTAACCCCTTGTAACCCCCTGTAACCCCCTTTAACCCCGTGTATTCCCATGTCATAGATCGTGAAAATAAATCGTGAAAAATCGATTTACGAAGTTTTACATAGCAAACAAGCCTTTCTGAACAAGAAAAACATCGGTTTCAAAAACCCACAAAATTGGCATTTTTGGAAAGGGGTTAGTCCATGGTTTTGTTGAAAAATTGGAAATTTTGTGAACGTTTCGTTTTATGCAAAATACATCCAGAAAAAGTATTTGGTGACATTTCCGTTAGAAAACAAGCCTCCCTAGACAGTATAAAGATGGATTTAAAAAGAAGGAAAAATTGGCATTTTTGCAAAGGGGATAGTCCATGATTTTGGTTAAAAAGTTAAAGTCTTTTCATCTTTTGTATTTATCAAAAATAGATCGAGAAAAAGTGTTTGCTGACGTTCTAGATAAAAAAGAAGCCTTTAAAGACTATAAAAACTACTGTTTACAAAAAACTCAAAATTAGAATTTTTCCAAAGGGGTTAGTCCATCGTTTAGATCAAAAATTAGAGATTTCTTCAACTTTGATTTTTATGCAAAATAGACCAAGAAAAAGTATCTGGGAACGTTCTAGTTAAAAAAAAGTTTCTATAATCCTTTGTAACCCCCTGTCACCCCTTCTCACCCCCTGTCACCCCTTTTAACCCCTTGTAACCCCCTGTAACCGCTTGTAACCCCTTGTAACCCCTTGTAACCCCGTGTATTCCCATGTCAGAGATAGTGAAAATAAATCGTGAAAAAACGATTTTCGACGTTTTATATAGCAAACAAGCCTTTCTAAACAAGAAAAACATCGGTTTCAAAAACCCACAAAATTGGCATTTTTGCAAAGGGGTTAGTCCATGGTTTCGGTCAAAAATTGGAAATTTTGTGAACGTTTCGTTTTATGCAAAATACACCCAGAAAAAGTATTTGGTGACGTTGTCGTTAGAAAACAAGCCTTTCTAGACAGTATAAAGTTGGATTTAAAAAGAAGGGAAAATTGGCATTTTTGCAAAGGGGATAGTCCATGATTTTGGTCAAAAAGATGAAGTTTTTTCATCTTTTGTATTTATCAAAAATAGATCGAGAAAAAGTGTTTGCTGACGTTCTAGATAAAAAGAAAGCTTTTAAAGACTATAAAAACAACTGTTTACGAAAAACGCAAAATTAGAATTTTTCCAAACGGGTTAGTCCATCGTTTTGATCAAAAATTAGAGATTTCTTTAACTTTGATTTTTATGCAAAACAGACTAAGAAAAAGTATCTGGGAACGTTCTATTTAGAAAAACGTTTCTATAATCCTTTGTAATCCCCGGTAACCGGTTTTTGTAATCGGTTTCAAAAACCCACAAAATTGGTATTTTTGCTAAGGGGTTAGTCCATGGTTTTGGTCAAAAATTGGAAATTTTGTGAACGTTTCGTTTTATGCAAAATACACCCACAAAAAGTATTTGGTGACCTTCTCGTTAGAAAACAAGCCTTCCTAGACAATATAAACATGGATTTAAAAAGAAGGCAAAATTGGCATTTTTGCAAAGGGGATAGTCCATGATTTTGGTCAAAAGGTTGAAGTTTTTTCATCTTTTGTATTTATCAAAAATAGATTGAGAAAAAGTGTTTGCTGACGTTCTAGATAAAAAGAAAGCTTTTAAAGACTATAAAAACAACTGTTTACGTAAAACGCAAAATTAGAATTTTTCCAAAGGGGTTAGTCCATCGTTTTGATCAAAAATTAGGGATTTCTTTAACTTTGATTTTTATGCAAAATAGACTAAGAAAAAGTATCTGGGAACGTTCTATTTAGAAAAACGTTTCTATAATCCTTTGTAATCTCCGGTAACCGGTTTTTGTAATCAGTTTCAAAAACCCACAAAATTGGTATTTTTGCTAAGGGGTTAGTCCATGGTTTTGGTCAAAAATTGGAAATTTTGTGAACGTTTCGTTTTATGCAAAATACACCCACAAAAAGTATTTGGTGACCTTCTCGTTAGAAAACAAGCCTTCCTAGACAATATAAACATGGATTTAAAAAGAAGGCAAAATTGGCATTTTTGCAAAGGGGATAGTCCATGATTTTGGTCAAAAGGTTGAAGTTTTTTCATGTTTTGTATTTATCAAAAATAGATCGAGAAAAAGTGTTCGCTGATGTTCTAGATAAAAAGAAAGCCTTTAAAGACAATAAAAACAACTGTTTACGAAAAACGCAAAATTAGAATTTTTCCAAAGGGGTTAGTCCATCGTTTTGATCAAAAATTAGAGATTTCTTTAAGTTTGATTTTTATGCAAAATAGACCAAGAAAAAGTATCTGGGAACGTTCTATTTAGAAAAACGTTTCTATAATCCTTTGTAACCCGCTGTAACCGGTTTTTGTAATCGGTTTCAAAAACCCACAAAATTGGTATTTTTGCAAAGGGGTTAGTCCATGGTTTTGGTCAAAAATTGGAAATTTTGTGAACGTTTCCTTTTATGCAAAATACACCCACAAAAAGTATTTGGTGACGTTGTCGTTAGAAAAGAAACCTTTCTAGACAATATAAACATGGATTTAAAAAGAAGGCAAAATTGGCAGTTTTGCAAAGGGGATAGTCCATGATTTAGGTCAAAAAGTTGAAGTTTTTTCATGTTTGTATTTATCAAAAATAGATCGAGAAAAAGTGTTTGCTGACGTTCTAGATAAAAAAGAAGCCTTTAAAGACTATAAAAACAACTGTTTACGAAAAACGGAAAATTAGAATTTTTCCAAAGGGGTTAGTGCATCGCTTTGATCAAAAATTAGAGATTTCTTTAACTTTGATTTTTATGCAAAATAGACCAAGAAAAAGTATCTGGGAACGTTCTAGTTAGAAAAAGTTTCTATAACTCTTTGTAACCCCCTGTAACCCCTTGTAACCCCCTGTCACCCCTTGTAACCCCTTGTAACCCCCTGTAACCCCTTGTAACCCCTTGTAACCCCTTGTAACCCCTTGTAACCCCCTGTAATCCCTTGTAACCCCCTGTATTCCCATTTCATAGATTGTGAAAATAGATCGTGAAAAAATGATTTTCGACGTTTTATATAGCAAACAAGCCTTTCTGAACAAGAAAAACATCGGTTTCAAAAACCCACAAAATTGGCATTTTTGCAAAGGGGTTAGTCCATGGTTTTGGTCAAAAATTGGAAATTTTGTGAACGTTTCGTTTTATGCAAAATACACCCAGAAAAAGTATTTGGTGACGTTGTCGTTAGAAAACAAGCCTTTCTAGACAATATAAACATGGATTTAAAAAGAAGGCAAAATTGGCATTTTTGCAAAGGGGATAGTCCATGATTTTGGTCAAAAAATTGAAGATTTTTCATCTTTTGTATTTATCAAAAATAGATCGAGAAAAAGTGTTTGCTGACGTTCTAGATAAAAAAAGAAGCCTTTAAAGACTATAAAAACAACTGTTTACGAAAAACGCAAAATTAGAATTTTTCCAAAGGGGTTAGTCCTTCGTTTAGATCCAAAATTAGAGATTTCTTTAAGTTTGATTTTTATGGAAAATAGACCAAGAAAAAGTATCTGGGAACGTTCTAGTTAGAAAAAAGTTTCTATAATCCTTTGTAACCCCCTGTAACCCCTTATCACCCCCTGTCGCCCCTTGTAACCCCTTGAAACCCCCTGTAACCCCTTGTAACCCGCTGTAACCCCTTGTAACCCCTTGTAACCCCCTGTAACCCCTTGTAACCCTCTGTATTCCCATGTCATAGATCGTGAAAATAAAACGTGAAAAAACGATTTTCGACGTTTTATATAGCAAACAAGCCTTTCTGATCAAGAAAAACATCGGTTTCAAAAACCCACAAAATTGACATTTTTGCAAAGGGGTTAGTCCATGGTTTTGGTCAAAAATTGGAAATTTTGTGAACGTTTCTTTTTCTGCAAAATACACCCACAAAAAGTATTTGGTGACGTTCTCGTTAGAAAATAAGCCTTCCTAGAAAATATAAACATGGATTTAAAAAGAAGGCAAAATTGGCATTTTTGCAAAGGGGATAGTCCATGATTTTGGTCAAAAAGGTGAAGTTTTTTCATGTTTTGTATTTATCAAAAATAGATCGAGAAAAAGTGTTTGCTGACGTTCTAGATAAAAAAGAAGCCTTTAAAGACTATAAAAACAACTGTTTACGAAAAACGGAAAATTAGAATTTTTCCAAAGGGGTTAGTCCATCGTTTTGATCAAAAATTAGAGATTTCTTTAACTTTGATTTTTATGCAAAATAGACTAAGAAAAAGTATCTGGGAACGTTCTATTTAGAAAAACGTTTCTATAATCCTTTGTAATCCCCGGTAACCGGTTTTTGTAATCGGTTTCAAAAACCCACAAGATTGGTATTTTTGCTAAGGGGTTAGTCCATGGTTTTGGTCAAAAATTGGAAATTTTGTGAACGTTTCGTTTTATGCAAAATACACCCACAAAAAGTATTTGGTGACCTTCTCGTTAGAAAACAAGCCTTCCTAGACAATATAAACATGGATTTAAAAAGAAGGCAAAATTGGCATTTTTGCAAAGGGGATAGTCCATGATTTTGGTCAACAGGTTGAAGGTTTTTCACCTTTTGTATTTATCAAAAATAGATCGAGAAAAAGTGTTCGCTGATGTTCTAGATAAAAAGAAAGCCTTTAAAGACTATAAAAACAACTGTTTACGAAAAACGCAAAATTAGAATTTTTCCAAAGGGGTTAGTCCATCGTTTTGATCAAAAATTAGAGATTTCTTTAAGTTTGATTTTTATGCAAAATAGACCAAGAAAAAGTATCTGGGAACGTTCTATTTAGAAAAACGTTTCTATAATCCTTTGTAACCCCCTGTAACCGGTTTTTGTAATCGGTTTCAAAAACCCACAAGATTGCTATTTTTGCTAAGGGGTTAGTCCATGGTTTTGGTCAAAAATTGGAAATTTTGTGAACGTTTCGTTTTATGCAAAATACACCCACAAAAAGTATTTGGTGACCTTCTCGTTAGAAAACAAGCCTTCCTAGACAATATAAACATGGATTTAAAAAGAAGGCAAAATTGGCATTTTTGCAAAGGGGATAGTCCATGATTTTGGTCAAAAGGTTGAAGTTTTTTCATCTTTTGTATTTATCAAAAATAGATCGAGAAAAAGTGTTTGCTGACGTTCTAGATAAAAAGAAAGCTTTTAAAGACTATAAAAACAACTGTTTGCAAAAAACGCAAAATTAGAATTTTTCCAAAGGGGTTAGTCCATCGTTTTGATCAAAAATTAGAGATTTCTTTAACTTTGATTTTTATGCAAAATAGACTAAGAAAAAGTATCTGGGAACGTTCTATTTAGAAAAACGTTTCTATAATCCTTTGTAATCCCCGGTAACCGGTTTTTGTAATCGGTTTCAAAAACCCACAAAATTGGTATTTTTGCTAAGGGGTTAGTCCATGGTTTTGGTCAAAAATTGGAAATCTTGTGAACGTTTCGTTTTATGCAAAATACACCCACAAAAAGTATTTGGTGACCTTCTCGTTAAAAAACAAGCCTTCCTAGACAATATAAACATGGATTTAAAAAGAAGGCAAAATTGGCATTTTTGCAAAGGGGATAGTCCATGATTTTGGTCAAAAAGTTGAAGTTTTTTTCATCTTTTGTATTTATCAAAAATAGATCGAGAAAAAGTATTTGCTAAAGTTCTAGATAAAAAAGAGGCCTTTAAAGACTATAAAAACAACTGTTTACGAAAAACGCAAAATTAGAATTTTTCCAAAGGGGTTAGTCGATCGTTTTGATCAAAAATTAGAGATGTCTTTAACTTTGATTTTTATGCAAAATAGACCAAGAAAAAGTATCTGGGAACGTTCTATTTAGAAAAACGTTTCTATAATCCTTTGTAATCCCCTGTAACCGGTTTTTGTAATGGGTTTCAAAAACCCACAAGATTGGTATTTTTGCAAAGGGGTTAGTCCATGGTTTTGGTCAAAAATTGGAAATTTTGTGAACGTTTCGTGTTATGCAAAATACACCTACAAAAAGTATTTGGTGACCTTCTCGTTAGAAAACAACCCTTCCTAGACAATATTAACGTGGATTTAAAAAGAAGGCAAAATTGGCATTTTTGCAAAGGGGATAGTCCATGATTTTGGTCAAAAGGTTGAAGTTTTTTCATCTTTTGTATTTATCAAAAATAGATCGAGAAAAAGTGTTTGCTGACGTTCTAGATAAAAAGAAAGCTTTTAAAGACTATAAAAACAACTGTTTGCAAAAAACGCAAAATTAGAATTTTTCCAAAGGGGTTAGTCCATCGTTTTGATCAAAAATTAGAGATTTCTTTAACTTTGATTTTTATGCAAAATAGACCAAGAAAAAGTATCTGGGAACGTTCTATTTAGAAAAACGTTTCTATAATCCTTTGTAATCCCCGGTAACCGGTTTTTGTAATCGGTTTCAAAAACCCACAAAATTGGTATTTTTGCTGAGGGGTTAGTCCATGGTTTTGGTCAAAAATTGGAAATTTTGTGAACGTTTCGTTTTATGCAAAATACACCCACAAAAAGTATTTGGTGACCTTCTCGTTAAAAAACAAGCCTTCCTAGACAATATAAACATGGATTTAAAAAGAAGGCAAAATTGGCATTTTTGCAAAGGGGATAGTCCATGATTTTGGTCAAAAAGTTGAAGTTTTTTCATCTTTTGTATTTATCAAAAATAGATCGAGAAAAAGTATTTGCTAAAGTTCTAGATAAAAAAGAGGCCTTTAAAGACTATAAAAACAACTGTTTACGAAAAACGCAAAATTAGAATTTTTCCAAAGGGGTTAGTCCATCGTTTTGATCAAAAATTAAAGAGTTCTTTAACTTTGATTTTTATGAAAAATAGACCAAGAAAAAGTATCTGGGAACGTTCTATTTAGAAAAACGTTTCTATAATCCTTTGTAACCCCCTGTAACCGGTTTTTGTAATCGGTTTCAAAAACCCACAAAATTGGTATTTTTGCAAAGGGGTTAGTCCATGGTTTTGGTCAAAAATTGGAAATTTTGTGAACGTTTCGTTTTATGCACAATACACCCACAAAAAGTATTTGGTGACGTTGTCGTTAGAAAAGAAGCCTTTCTAGACAATATAAACATGGATTTAAAAAGAAGGCAAAATTGGCATTTTTGCAAAGGGGATAGTCCATGATTTTGGTCAAAAAGTTGAAGTTTTTTCATCTTTGTATTTATCAAAAATAGATCGAGAAAAAGTGTTTGCTGACGTTCTAGATAAAAAAGAAGCCTTTAAAGACTATAAAAACAACTGTTTACGAAAAACGGAAAATTAGAATTTTTCCAAAGGGGTTAGTCCATCGTTTTGATCAAAAATTAGAGATTTCTTTAAGTTTGATTTTTATGCAAAATAGACCAAGAAAAAGTATCTGGGAACGTTCTAGTTAGAAAAAGTTTCTATAATCCTTTGTAACCCCCTGTAACGCCTTGTCACCCCCTGTCACCTCTTGTAACCCCTTGTAACCCCCTGTAACCCCTTGTAACTTCTTGTAACCCCTTGTAACCCCTTGTAACCCCTTATAACCCCTTGTAACCCCCTGTAATCCCTTGTAACCCCCTGTATTCCCATGTCATAGATTGTGAAAATAAATCGTGAAAAAATGATTTTCGACGTTTTATATAGCAAACAAGCCTTTCTGAACAAGAAAAACATCGGTTTCAAAAACCCACAAAATTTGCATTTTTGCAAAGGGGTTAGGCCATGGTTTTGGTCAAAAAGTTGAAATTTTGTGAACGTTTCGTTTTATGCAAAATACACCCACAAAAAGTATTTGGGGACGTTCCCGTTAGAAAACAATTCTTTCTAGACAATATAAACATGGATTTAAAAAGAACGCAGAATTGGCATTTTTGCAAAGGGGATAGTGCATGATTTTGGTTAAAAAGTTGAAGTTTTTTCATCTTTTGTATTTATCAAAAATAGATCGAGAAAAAGTGTTTGCTGACGTTCTAGATAAAAAAGAAGCCTTTAAAGACTATAAAAACAACTGTTTACGAAAAACGGAAAATTAGAATTTTTCCAAAGTGGATAGTGCATCGTTTAGATCAAAAATTAGAGATTTCTTTAACTTTGATTTTTATGCAAAATAGACCAAGAAAAAGTATCTGGGAACGTTCTAGTTAGAAAAAAGTTTCTATAATCCTTTGTAACCCCCTGTAACCCGTTATCTCCCCCTGTCGCCCCTTGTAACCCCTTGTAACCCCCTGTAACCCCTTGTAACCCCTTGTAACCCCTTGAAACCCGCTGTAACCCCTTGTAACCCCCTGTAACCCCTTGTAACCCCTTGTAACCCTCTGTAACCCCTTGTAACCCCCTGTATTTCCATGTCATAGATCGTGAAAATAAAACGTGAAAAAACGATTTTCGACGTTTTATATAGTAAACAAGCCTTTCTGAACAAGAAAAACATCGGTTTCAAAAACCCACAAAATTGACATTTTTGCAAAATGCCTAGTCCATGGTTTCGGTCAAAAATTGGAAATTTTGTGAACGTTTCTTTTTCTGCAAAATACATCCAGAAAAACTATTTGGTGACGTTCTCGTTAGAAAATAAGCCTTCCTAGAAAATATAAACATGGATTTAAAAAGAAGGCAAAATTGGCATTTTTGCTGAGGGGATATTCCATGATTTTGGTCAAAAAGTTGAAGTTTTTTCATCTTTTGTATTTATCAAAAATAGATCGAGAAAAAGTGTTTGCTGACGTTCTAGATAAAAAAGAAGTCTTTAAAGACTATAAAAACAAGTGTTTACGAAAAACGCAAAATTAGAATTTTTCCAAAGGGGTTAGTCCATCGTTTTGATCAAAAATTAGAGATTTCTTTAACTTTGATTTCTATGCAAAATAGACCAAGAAAAAGTATCTGGGAACGTTCTATTTACAAAAACGTTTCTATAATCCTTTATAACACCCTGTAACCGGTTTTTCTAATCGGTTTCAAACACCCACAAAATTGGCATTTTTGCAAAGGGGTTAGTCCTTGGTTTTGGTCAAAAATTGGAAATTGTGTGAACGTTTCGTTTTATTGAAATACACCCAGAAAAAGTATTTGGTGACGTTCCCGTTAGAAAACAAGCCTTTCTAGACAATATTAACATGGATTTAAAAAAAAGGCAAAATTGGCATTTTTGCAAAGGGGATAGTCCATGATTTTGGTCAAAAAGGTGAAGTTTTTTCATGTTTTGCATTTATCAAAAATAGATCGAGAAAAAGTGTTTGCTGACGTTCTAGATAAAAAAGAAGCCTTTAAAGACTATAAAAACAACTGTTTACGAAAAACGGAAAATTAGAATTTTTCCAAAGTGGATAGTGCATCGTTTAGATCAAAAATTAGAGATTTCTTTAACTTTGATTTTTATGCAAAATATACCAAGAAAAAGTATCTCGGAACGTTCTAGTTAGAAAAAAGTTTCTATAATCCTTTGTAACCCCCTGTAACCCCTTATCTCCCCCTGTCGCCCTTTGTAACCCCTTGTAACCCCCTGTAACCCCTTGTAACCCCTTGTAACCCCCTTTAACCGCGTGTATTCCCATGTCATAGATCGTGAAAATAAATCGTGAAAAATCGATTTTCGACGTTTTACATAGCAAACAAGCCTTTCTGAACAAGAAAAACATCGGATTCAAAAACCCACAAAATTGGCATTTTTGGAAAGGGGTTAGTCCATGGTTTTGTTCAAAAATTGGAAATTTTGTGAACGTTTCGTTTTATGCAAAATACAGCCAGAAAAAGTATTCGGTGACATATCCGTTAGAAAACAAGCCTTTCTAGACAGTATAAAGATGGATTTAAAAAGAAGGGAAAATTGGCATTTTTGCACAGGGGATAGTTCATGATTTTGGTTAAAAAGTTAAAGTCTTTTCATCTTTTGTATTTATCAAAAATAGATCGAGAAAAAGTGTTTGCTGACGTTCTAGATAAAAAAGAAGCCTTTAAAGACTATAAAAACAACTGTTTACGAAAAACGCAAAATTAGAATTTTTCCAAAGGGGTTAGTCCATCGTTTAGATCAAAAATTAGAGATTTCTTCAACTTTGATTTTTATGCAAAATAGACCAAGGAAAAGTATCTGGGAACGTTCTAGTTAGAAAAAAGTTTCTATAATCCTTTGTAACCCCCTGTCACCCCTTGTCACCCCCTGTCACCCCTTTTAACCCCTTGTAACCCCCTGTAACCCCTTGTAACCCCTTGTAACCCCTTGTAACCCCCTGTATTCCCATGTCATAGATAGTGAAAATAAATCGTGAAAAAACGATTTTCGACGTTTTATATAGCAAACAAGCCTTTCTAAACAAGAAAAACATCGGTTTCAAAAACCCACAAAATTGGCATTTTTGCAAAGGGGTTAGTCCATGGTTTCGGTCAAAAATTGGAAATTTTGTGAACGTTTCGTTTTATGCAAAATACACCCAGAAAAAGTATTTGGTGACGTTGTCGTTAGAAAACAAGCCTGTCTAGACAGTATAAAGTTGGATTTAAAAAGAAGGGAAAATTGGCATTTTTGCAAAGGGGATAGTCCATGATTTTGGTCAAAAAGATGAAGTTTTTTCATCTTTTGTATTTATCAAAAATAGACCGAGAAAAAGTGTTTGCTGAAGTTCTAGATAAAAAGAAAGCCTTTAAAGACTATAAAAACAACTGTTTACGAAAAACGCAAAATTAGAATTTTTCCAAAGGGGTTAGTCCATCGTTTTGATCAAAAATTAGATATTTCTTTAACTTTGATTTTTATTCAAAATAGACCAAGATAATGTATCTGGGAACGTTCTAGTTAGAAAAAGTTTCGATAATCCTTTGTAATCCCCTGTAACCCCTTGTCTCCCCCTGTCGCCCCTTGTAACTCCTTGTAACCCCCTGTAACCTCTAGTAACCCCTTGTAACCCCTTGTAACCCCCTGTAATCCCTTGTAACCCCCTGTATTCCCATGTCATAGATCGTGAAAAGAAATCGTGAAAAAATGATTTTCGACGTTTTATATAGCAAACAAGCCTTTCTGAACAAGAAAAACATCGGTTTCAAAAACCCACAAAATCGGCATTTTTGCAAAGTGGTTAGTCCATGGTTTTGGTCAAAAATTGGAAATTTTGTGAACGTTTGTTTTATGCAAAATACACCCACAAAAAGTATTTGGTGACCTTCTCGTTAGAAAACAAGCCTTCGTAGACAATATAAACATGGATTTAAAAAGAAGGCAAAATTGGCCTTTTTGCAAAGGGGATAGTCCATGATTTTGGTCAAAAGGTTGAAGTTTTTTCATCTTTTGTATTTATCAAAAATAGATCGAGAAAAAGTGTTTCCTGACGTTCTAGAGAAAAAGAAAGCTTTTAAAGCCTATAAAAACAACTGTTTACGAAAAACGCAAAATTAGAATTTTTCCAAAGCTGTTAGTCCATCGTTTTGATGAAAAATTAGAGATTTCTTTAACTTTGATTTTTATGCAAAATAGACTAAGAAAAAATATCTGGGAACGTTCTATTTAGAAAAAACGTTTCTATAATCCTCTGTAATCCCCGGTAACCGGTTTTTGTAATCGGTTTCAAAAACCCACAAAATTGGTATTTTTGCTGAGGGGTTAGTCCATGGTTTTGGTCAAAAATTGGAAATTTTGTGAACGTTTCGTTTTATGCAAAATACACCCAGAAAAAGTATTTGGTGACGTTCGCGTTAGAAAATAAGCCTTCCTAGAAAATATAAACATGGATTTAAAAAGAAGGCAAAATTGGCATTTTTGCAAAGGGGATAGTCCATGATTTTGGTCAAAAAGTTGAAGTTTTTTCATCTTTTGTATTTATCAAAAATAGATCGAGAAAAAATATTTGCTGACGTTCTAGATAAAAAAGAGGCCTTTAAAGACTATAAAAACTACTGTTTAGGAAAAACGCAAAATTAGAATTTTTCCAAAGGGGTTAGTCCATCGTTTTGATCAAAAATTAGAGAGTTCTTTAACTTTGATTTTTATGCAAAATTGACCAAGAAAAAGTATCTGGGAACCTTCTATTTAGCAAAACGTTTCTATAATCCTTTGTAACCCCCTGTAACCGGTTTTTCTAATCGGTTTCAAAAACCCACAAAATTGGCATTTTTGCAAAGGGGTTAGTCCATGGTTTTGGTCAAAAATTGGAAATTGTGTGAACGTTTCGTTTTATGCAAAATACACTTACAAAAAGTATTTGGTGTCGTCGTCGTTAGAAAACAAGCCTTTCTACACAATATAAACATGGATTTAAAAAGAAGGCAAAATTGGCATTTTTGCAAAGGGGATAGTCCATGATTTTGGTCAAAAAGGTGAAGTTTTTTCATGTTTTGTATTTATCAAAAATAGATCGAGAAAAAGTGTTTCCTGACGTTCTAGATAAAAAAGAAGCCTTTAAAGACTATAAAAACAACTGTTTACGAAAAAAGGAAAATTGAAATTTTTCCAAAGGGGTTAGTCCATCGTTTTCATCAAAAATTAGAGATTTCTTTAACTTTGATTTTTATGCAAAATAGACCAAGAAAAAGTATCTGGGAACGTTCTAGTTAGAAAAAGTTTCTATAATCCTTTGTAACCCCCTGTAACCCCTGGTCACCCCCTGTCACCCCTTGTAACCCCTTCTAACCCCCTGTAACCCCTTGTAACCCCTTGTAACCCCTTGTAACCCTCTGTAATCCCTTGTAACCCCCTGTATTCCCATGTCATAGATTGTGAAAATAAATCGAGAAAAAATGATTTTCGACGTTTTATATAGCAAACAAGTCTTTCTGAACAAGAAAAACATCGGTTTCAAAAACCCACAAAATTGGCATTTTTGCAAAGGGCTTAGTCCATGGTTTTGATCAAAAATTGGAAATTTTGTGAACGTTTCGTTTTATGCAAAATACACCCAGAAAAAGTATTTGGTGACGTTGTCGTTAGAAAACAAGCCTTTCTAGACAATATAAACATGGATTTAAAAAGAAGGCAAAATTGGCATTTTTGCAAAGGGGATAGTCCATGATTTTGGTCAAAAAGTTGAAGATTTTTCATCTTTTGTATTTATCAAAAATAGATCGAGAAAAAGTGTTTGCTGACGTTCTAGATAAAAAAGATGCCTTTAAAGACTATAAAAACAACTGTTTACGAAAAACGCAAAATTAGAATTTTTCCAAAGGGGTTAGTCCATCGTTTAGATGAAAAATTAGAGATTTCTTTAAGTTTGATTTTTATGCAAAATAGGCCAAGAAAAAGTATCTGGGAACGTTCTAGTTAGAAAAAAGTTTCTATAATCCTTTGTAACCCCCTGTAACCCCTTATCACCCCCTGTCACCCCTTGTAACCCCTTGAAACCCCCTGTAACCCCTTGTAACCCCCTGTAACCCCTTGTAACCCCTTGTAACCCCCTGTAACCCCTTGTAACCCCTTGTATTCCCATGTCATAGATCGTGAAAATAAATCGTGAAAAAACGATTTTCGACGTTTTATATAGCAAACAAGCCTTTCTGAACAAGAAAAACATCGGTTTCAAAAACCCAAAAAATTGACATTTTTGCAAAGGGGTTAGTCCATGGTTTTGGTCAAAAATTGGAAATTTTGTGAACATTTCTTTTTCTGCAAAATACACCCAGAAAAACTATTTGGTGACGTTCTCGTTAGAAAATAAGCCTTCCTAGAAAATATAAACATGGATTTAAAAAGAAGGCAAAATTGGCATTTTTCCTGAGGGGATAGTCCATGATTTTGGTAAAAAAGTTGAAGTTTTTTCATCTTTTGTATTTATCAAAAATAGATCGAGAAAAAGTGTTTGCTGACGTTCTAGATAAAAAAGAAGTCTTTAAAGACTATAAAAGCAAGTGTTTACGAAAAACGCAAAATTAGAATTTTTCCAAACGGGTTAGTCCATCGTTTTGATCAAAAATTAGAGATTTCTTTAACTTTTATTTTTATTCAAAATAGACCAAGAAAAAGTATCTGGGAACGTTCTATTTAGAAAAACATTTCTATAATCCTTCGTAACCCCCTGTAACCCCTTATCAACCCTTGTCGCCCCTTGTAACCCCTTGTAACCCCCTGTTACCCCTTGTAACCCCTTGTAACCCCCTGTAACCCCTTGTAACCCCCTGTATTCCCATGTCATAGATCATGAAAATAAATCGTGAAAAAACGATTTTAGACGTTTTATATAGCAAACAAGCCTTTCTGAACAAGAAAAACATCGGGTTCAAAAACCCACAAAATTGGCATTTTTGAAAAGGGGTTAGTCCATGGTTTTGGTCAAAGATTGGAAATTTTGTGAACGTTTCGTTTTATGCAAAATACACCCAGAAAAAGTATTTGGTGACGTTGTCGTTAGAAAACAAGCCTTTCTAGACAATATAAACATGGATTTAAAAAGAAGGCAAAATTGGCATTTTTGCAAAGGGGATAGTCCATGATTTTGGTCAAAAAGTTGAAGTTTTTTCATCTTTTGTATTTATCAAAAATAGATCGAGAAAAAGTGTTTGCTGACGTTTTAGATAAAAAGAAAGCCTTTAAAGACTATAAAAACAACTGTTTACGAAAAACGGAAAATTAGAATTTTTCCAAACGGGTTAGTCCATCGTTTTGATCAAAAATTAGAGATTTCTTTAACTTTGATTTTTATGCAAAATAGACCAAGAAAAAGTATCTGTTAACGTTCTTTTTAGATAAACGTTTCTATAATCCTTTCTAACCCCGTGTAACCGGTTTTTGTTAGCGGTTTCAAAAACGTACAAAATTGGCATTTTTGCAAAGGGGTTAGTCCATGGTTTTGGTCAAAAATTGGAAATTGTGCGAACGTTTCGTTTTATGCAAAATACTCCCACAAAAAGTATTTGGTGACGTTGTCGTTAGAAAACAAGCCTTTCTAGACAATATAAACATGGATTTAAAAAGAAGGCAAAATTGGCATTTTTGCAAAGGGGATAGTCCATGATTGTGGTCAAAAAGTTAAAGTTTTTTCATCTTTTGTATTTATCAAAAATAGATCGAGAAAAAGTGTTTGCTGACGTTCTAGATAAAAAAGAAGCCTTTAAAGACTATAAAAACAACTGTTTACGAAAAACGGGAAATTAGAATTTTTCCAAAGGGGTTAGTCCATCGTTTAGATCAAAAATTAGAGATTTCTTTAACTTTGATTTTTATGCAAAATAGACCAAGAAAAAGTATCTGGGAACGTTCTAGTTAGAAAAAAGTTTCTAAAATCCTTTGTAACCCCCTGTAACCTTTTATCACCCCCTGTCACCCCTTGTAACCCCTTGTAACCCCCTGTAACCCCTTGTAACCCCTTGTAACCCTTTGTAACCCCTTGTAACCCCCTGTATTGCCATGTCATAGATCGTGAAAATAAATCGTGAAAAAACGATTTTCGACGTTTTATATACAAAACAAGCCTTTCTGAACAAGAAAAACATCGGTTTCAAAAACCCACAAAATTGGCATTTTTGCAAAGGGGTTAGTCCATGGTTTTGATCAAAAATTGGAAATTTTGTGAACGTTTCGTTTTATGCAAAATACACCCAGAAAAAGTATTTGGTGACGTTGTCGTTAGAAAACAAGCCTGTCTAGGCAATATAAACATGGATTTAAAAAGTAGGCAAATTTGGTATTTTTGCAAAGGGGATAGTCCATGATTTTGGTCAAAAAGTTGAAGTTTTTTCATCTTTTGTTTTTATGAAAAATAGATCGAGAAAAAGTGTTTGCTGACGTTCTTTAAAGACTATAAAAACAACTGTTTACGAAAAACGCAAAATTAGAATTTTTCGAAAGGGGTTAGTCCATCGTTTTGATCAAAAATTAGAGATTTCTTCAACTTTGATTTTTATGCAAAATAGACCAAGAAAAAGTATTTGGGAACCTTCTAGTTAGAAAAAAGTTTCTATAATCCTTTGTAACCCCCTGTAACCCCTTGTCACCCCATGTCACCCCTTGTAACCCCTTGTAACCCCATGTAACCCCTTGTAACCCCTTGTAACCTCTTGTAACCCCTAGTAACCCCCTGTAACTCCTTGTAACCCCCTGTATTCCCATATCATAGATCGTGCAAATAAATCGTGAAATAACGATTTTCGACGTTTTATATAGCAAACAAGCCTTTCTGAACAAGAAAAACATCGGTTTCAAAAACCCACAAAATTGGCGTTTTTGCAAAGGGGTTAGTCCATGGTTTTGGTCAAAAATTGGAAATTTTGTGAACGTTTCGTTTTATGCAAAATACACCCAGAAAAAGTATTTGGTGACGTTGTCGTTAGAAAACAAGCCTTTCTAGACAATATAAACATGGATTTAAAAAGAAGGCAAAATTGGCATTTTTGCAAAGGGGATAGTCCATGATTTTGGTCAAAAAGTTGAAGTTTTTTCATCTTTTGTATTTATCAAAAATAGATCGAGAAAAATTGTTTGCTGACGTTCTAGATAAAAAAGAAGCCTTTAAAGACTAAAAAGACAAATGTTTACGAAAAACGGAAAATTAGAATTTTTCCAAAGGGGTTAGTCCGTCGTTTTAATCAAAATATAGAGATTTCTTCAACTTTGATTTTTATGCAAAATAGACCAAGAAAAAGTATCTGGGATCGTTCTAGTTAGAAAAAAGTTTCTATAATCCTTTGTAACCCTCTGTAACCACTTGTCACCCCTTGTCACCCCTCGTAACCCCTTGTAACCCCTTGTAACCCCTTGTAACCACTTGTCATCCCTAGTAACCCCCTGTAACCCCTTGTAACCCCCTGTATTCCCATGTCATAGATCGTGAAAATAAATCGTGATGAAACGATTTTCGACGTTTTATATAGCAAACAAGCCTTTCTGAACAAGAAAAACATCGTTTTCAAAAACCCACAATATTGGCATTTTTGCAAAGGGGTTAGTCCATGGTTTTGGTCAAAAATTGGAAATTTTGTGAACGTTTCTTTTTCTGCAAAATACACCCAGAAAAACTATTTGGTGACGTTCTCGTTAGAAAATAAGCCTTCCTAGAAGATATAAACATGGATTTAAAAAGAAGGCAAAATTGGCATTTTTGCAAAGGGGATAGTCCATGATTTTGGTCAAAAAGTTGAAGTTTTTTCATCTTTTGTATTTATCAAAAATAGATCGAGAAAAAGTGTTTGCTGACGTTCTAGATAAAAAAGAAGCGTTTAAAGAGTAAAAAGACAACTGTTTACGAAAAACGCAGAATTAGAATTTTTCCAAAGGGGTTAGTCCATCGTTTTGATCAAAAATTAGAGATTTCTTTAACTTTGATATTTATGGAAAATAGACAAAGTAAAAGTATCTGGGAACGTTCTAGTTAGATAAAACTTTCCATAATCCTTTGTAACCCCCTGTAACCCCTTGTCACCCCCTGTCACCCCTTGTAACCCCCTGTAACGCCCTGTAACCCCTTTTAAGCCCCTGTATTCCCATGTCAGAGACCGTGAAAATGAATCGCAATGAAACGATTTTCGACGTTTTGTATAGCAAACAAGCCTTTCTGAACGAGAAAAACGTCGGTTTAAAAAACCCACAAAATTAGCATTTTTCCAAAGGGGTTAGTCCATGGTTTTGGTCAAAAAGTGGAAATTTTGTGAACGTTTCGTTTTATGCAAAATACACCCAGAAAAAGTATTTGGTGACGTTCTCGTTAGAGAACAAGCCTTTCTAGACAATATAAACATGGATTTAAAAAGAAGGCAAAATTGGCATTTTTGCAAAGGGGATAGTCCATGATTTTGGTCAAAAAGTTGAAGTTTTTTCATCTTTTGTATTTATCAAAAATAGATCGAGAAAAAGTGTTTGCTGACGTTCTAGATAAAAAAGAAGCGTTTAAAGAGTAAAAAGACAACTGTTTACGAAAAACGCAGAATTAGAATTTTTCCAAAGGGGTTAGTCCATCGTTTTGATCAAAAATTAGAGATTTCTTTAACTTTGATATTTATGGAAAATAGACAAAGTAAAAGTATCTGGGAACGTTCTAGTTAGATAAAACTTTCCATAATCCTTTGTAACCCCCTGTAACCCCTTGTCACCCCCTGTCACCCCTTGTAACCCCCTGTAACGCCCTGTAACCCCTTTTAACCCCCTGTATTCCCATGTCAGAGACCGTGAAAATAAATCGCAATGAAACGATTTTCGACGTTTTGTATAGCAAACAAGCCTTTCTGAACAAGAAAAACGTCGGTTTAAAAAACCCACAAAATTAGCATTTTTCCAAAGGGGTTAGTCCATGGTTTTGGTCAAAAAGTGGAAATTTTGTGAACGTTTCGTTTTATGCAAAATACACCCAGAAAAAGTATTTGGTGACGTTGTCGTTAGAAAACAAGCCTTTCTAGACAATATAAACATGGATTTAAAAAGAAGGCAAAATTGGCGTTTTTGCAAAGGGGATAGTCCATGATTTTGGTCAAAAAGTTGAAGTTTTTTCATCTTTTGTATTTATCAAAAAAAAGATCGAGAAAAAATGTTTGCTGACGTTCTACATATAAAAAAAAAGCCGTTAAAGACTATAAAAACAACTGTTAACGGAAAATGCAAAATTTAATTTTTTTCCAAAGGGGTTAGTCCATCGTCTTGATCAAAAATTAGAGATTTCTTCAACTTTGATTTTTATGCAAAATAGACCCAAAAAAAGTCTCTGGGAACGTTCTAGTTAGAAAAAAGTTTCTATAATCCTTTGTAACCCCCTGTAACCCCTTGTCACCCCCTGTCGCCACTTGTAACCGCTTGTAACCTCCTGTAACCCCTTGTAACCCCCTGTATTCCCATGTCATAGATGGTGAAAATAAATCGTGAAAAAACGATTTTCGACGTTTTATATAGCAAACAAGCCTTTCTGAACTGAGAAAAACATCGGTTTCAAAAACGGACAAAATTGGCATTTTTGCAAAGGGGTTAGTCCATAGTTTTGGCCAAAAATTTGAAATTTTGTGACCGTGTCGTTTTATGCAAACTACTCCCAGAAAAAGTATTTGGTGACGTTCTCGTTAGAAAACAAGCCTTTCTAGACAATATAAACATGGATTTAAAAAGAAGGCAAAAATTGGCATTTTTGCAAAGGGGATAGTCCATGATTTTGGTCAAAAAGGTGAAATTTTTTCATCTTTTTTATTTATCAAAAATAGATCGAGAAAAAGTTTTTGCTGATGTTCTAGATAATAGAGAAGCCTTTAAAGACTATAAAAACAACTGTTTACGAAAAACGCAAAATGAGAATTTTTGCAAAGGGGTTAGTCCATTGTTTTGATCAAAAATTAGAGATTTCTTCAACTTTGATTTTAATGCAAAATAGACGAAGTAAAAGTATCTGGGAACGTTCTAGTTAGAAAAAAGTTTCTATAATCCTTTGTAACCCCCTCTAACCCCTTGTCAGTCTTTGTCACCCCTTGTAACCCTTTGTAACCCCCTGTAACCCCTTGTAAACCCTTGTAACCCCTTGTAGCCCCCTGTAACCCCTTGTAACCCCCTGTATTCCCATGTCATAGATCATGAAAATAAATCATGAAAAAACGATTTTCGACGTTTTATATAGCAAACAAGCCTTTCTGAAGAAGAAAAACATCGGTTTCAAAAACCCACAAAATTGGCATTTTTGCAAAGGATTTAGTCCATAGTTTCGGTCAAAAATTTGAAATTTTGTGAACGTTTCGTTTTATGCAAAATACACCCAGAAAAAGTATTTGGTGACGTTGTCGTTAGAAAAGAAGCCTTTCTAGACAATATAAACATGGATTTAAAAAGAAGGCAAAATTGGCATTTTTGCAAAGGGGATAGTCCATGATTTTGGTCAAAAAGTTGAAGTTTTTTTATGTTTTGTGTTTATCAAAAATAGATCGAGAAAAAGTGTTTGCTGACGTTCTAGATAAAAAAGAAGCCTTTAAAGACTATAAAAACAACTGTTTACGAAAAACGCAAAATTAGAATTTTTCCAAAGGGGTTAGTCCATCCTTTTGATCAATAATTAGAGATTTCTTCATGTTTGATTTTCATGCAAAATAGACCTAGAAAAAGTATCTGTAAACGTTTTAGTTAGAAAAAAGTTTCTATAATCCTTTGTAACCCCCTGTAACCCCTTGTCAGCCCCTGTCACCCCTCGTAACCCCTTGTAACCCCCTGTAACCCCTTGTAACCCCTTGTAACCCCTTGTAACTCCTTGTAACTCCTTGTAACCCCTTGTAAGCCCCTGTAACCCCTTGTAAGCCCCTGTATTCCCACATCATAGATCATGAAAATATATCGTGAAAAAACGATTTTTGACGTTTTATATAGCAAACAAGCCTTTCTGAACGAGAAAAACATCGGTTTCAAAAACTGACAAAATTGGCATTTTTGCAAAGGGGTTAGTCCATAGTTTTGGGCAAAAATTTGAAATTTTGTGAACGTTTCGTTTTGTGCAAAATACACCCAGAGAAAGTATTTGGTGACGTTGTCGTTAGAAAACAAGCCTTTCTAGACAATATAAACATGGATTGAAAAAGAAGGCAAAATTGGCATTTTTGCAAAGGGGATAGTCCATGATTTTGCTCAAAAAGTTGAAGTTTTTTTTATCTATTGTATTTATCAAAAATAGATCGAGAAAAAGTGTTTGCTGACGTTCTAGATAAAAAAGAAGCCTTTAAAGACTATAAAAACAACTGTTTACGAAAATTAGAATTTTTGCAAAGGGGTTAGTCCATCGTTTTGATGAAAAAATTAGAGATTGCTTCAACTTTGATTTTTCTGCAAAATAGACCAAGAAAAAGTATCTGGGAACGTTCTAGTTAGAAAAAAGTTTCTATAATCCTTTGTAACCCCCTGTAACCCCTTGTCACCCCCTGTCACCCCTTGTAACCCCTTTTAACCCCATGTAACTCCTTGTAACCCCATGTATTCCCACGTCGTAGTTCGTGAAAATAAATCGTGAAAAAACGATTTTCGACGTTTTATATAGCAAACAAGCCTTTCTGAACAAGAAAAACATCGGTTTCAAAAACCCATAAAATTGGCATTTTTGCAAAGGGGTTAGTCCATAGTTTTGGTCAAAAATTTGACATTTTGTGAACGTTTCGTTTTATGCAAAATATACCCAGAAAAAGTATTTGGTGACGTTGCCGTTAGAAAACAAGCCTTTCTAGACAATATAAACATGGATTTAAAAAGAAGGCAAAATTGGCATTTTTGCAAAGGGGATAGTCGATGATTTTGGTCAAAAAGTTGAAGTTTTTTCATCTTTTGTATTTATGAAAAGTAGATCGAGAAAAAGTGTTTGCTGGCGTTCTAGATAAAAAAGAAGCCTTTAAAGACTATAAAAACAACTGTTTACGAAAGACGCAAAATGAGAATTTTTCCAAAGGGGTTAGTCCATCGTTTTGATCAAAAATTAGAGATTTCTTTAACTTTGATTTTTCTGCAAAATAGACCAAGAAAAAGTACCTGGGAACGTTCTAGTTAGAAAAAAGTTTCTATAATCCTTTGTAACCCCCTGTAACCCCTTGTTACCTCTTGTAACCCCTTGTAACCCCCCTTTAAGCCTTTGTAACCCCCTGTATTCCTATATCATAGATCGTGAAAATAAATCGTGAAAAAACGATTTTCGACGTTTTATATAGCAAACAAGCCTTTCTGAACAAGAAAA